CACACACACACACACACACACACACACACACACACACACTCACAACCACACAACATTGGTTTCCTGGTCATGCTAGTTATAATTATCTACAAATATTCTCCTTTTCTGTCTCTCTCTGTCGGTATCTGTTTCTGTCCCTGTTTCTCTCTTTTGCCCTCTCTCTGTGTCTCTCCCCCCCTCTCATCTTCGCTCTCTCTCTTTCAGAATGATGTGTCAGTTACTGACTGCTAGGTTTCCTTCCATCAACCAAAGCACCACTCTGGAAACCAAATTCAGGACCTATCAACTCTACACCCTTTTGTAACTATAACCCACACTATACATTGCTGTGCCTATTTCTACCAGGTATTTTTGTCTTGCACAGCCAAAGTCCCACATATAGTAGGATTCAGCTCCTGCTAATTGTCACCTCCCCTAGAGACAAGTGTACCAATACAAATACAAAACAGGTATCAGTCTTTCTTTGTAGCCTCTTCCCTACTGCTAAAGCTCCCAATAAAAAAATAGGAGTCTGACTGAGACTGAGCTGGGTCCCCTAAAATTGGGAGTCAGTGGAGAGGCCTGGGCAGTCTCAGGTTTTACTAGCAGTGGAACCAGTATTTATCCCCAGTACATGAATATGCTTCGGGGCCCATTAGATATGGAGGGATACACTTTTGTGCAATTATTTTGATGATTTTCCCCCTTGCCAATTACTTCCATACCCTCCTTCTGTTTCTACCTTCTACTGTTATGATTTTCCTTTCCTTCTTAAAAAAAATAAAACACAAACCAAAAGAAAATCAACACAAGCAATCAATACTTCTAAAATTCCCCAAAAAGAAAATGAGCACAAACATCTACCACTTATTTATTGAGCTGATTTATGTGTTTGCCAATGTATCCCAAACTTAAGAGAAGTGGTTAAGATTCCCAGTTAGAATTCATTGGAGGAAACATATTCTTCCTTTGCCATCAGGATAAAATTGCAGGTGTGTCCTTGGTTAGTCAGGGAAACCTGTTTTCACTTCCACTTTCATTGCTAGACCATCCATCTGGCTTGAATCTTTGCATGGTTGTGTGCATTGCTAATGTTAGTTCATGGGTTTATCTGTCCTGTTGTATCTGGAATACACTCTTCCTTAGAATAAACTATTTTCTGGCTCCAAGAGTCTTTCTGTTTCCTCATCTCAATAGCTCCCTGAACCTTGTGGCATAATTTTCATGAGGCCATCCCATTTAGAACTAAGTATTACAAACTCTCACACATTCTCCACATTGTTATGAGTCTGTGGTAGTTCCATATCCTCTGACAGAGTTTCACTGGTGTGGGCTGTTTGAAACATTAATCTCTCAGTATAGCAGTATGTCATCAAGAGTCATTTTATCACTATGCTCCTTTAGCAGGGTAATAGTGCCGGGTTTTTCCATAGGCCCATGACCTATCTGCTGAGACTTTTGGACACTTTAGCAGTGTCAGTTATGGCTTATATCTCCTGGAGAGGGCTTCAAAACCTATCACAGAGTGGTTGGTTATTGACAACCTAAGCTATTATTGTTTCAGTCTATTTGGTCAATAGGTCACTGTTGTCCTAGGGTTTGTAGCTGGGTGGTATTGATGATTGTCTTTCTCCTTCACTAGAATGCAGAGTACATTCCTGTGTCAAGATTGAAAGTCAGGAGTGGTGAAGCTTCTAGGTATACACTAGCCCAACTTCTCCATGTTGGCTGAGATACATTTGTCTTTCTTCAGCAATGAGGCCTAACAATAATGTTGCATATAAGCAACAGTTTTAGCAGTATGGCTGAGTTTGGGAGGTTTTCCTGGGGCACATCTTCAGCTCTTTAATTATATAGAACTTGATCATGTCACTGAACCAACATTCTTTTCTTCAGAATTTTTCTCAATTGAACTTAGTTTCTCTTTATTGATCTGCTTTGGTTTTTGTATGCTGTCTTTTCAGTTTCAGGAGGTTATACGGTTAGAAATTCACCATTTGCTCTAGCTTTCCATTTCATGCCAGTATACATTTTAAAAATACATGCAAAAGAAGAATTGGAGGAACCAGAGTGGTCAGGGCCAGCACAGGAACATTGCACACAGAGAAATTAACTGGCACTCATAGGTGTTCACAGAGGTATGGGAGCCTGTATACACCTTACACAGGCCCTATGTAAATATGTTATTGCTAAGTACCCGGAGTTCATTGAGGTTTTCCTAACTGTGGAAGGCTGGTGGTCACTGATTCTTTGGCCTACTTATGCTACCCTTTTCTTGCTGCTGCTGCACTACCTAGTCATACAGTAACATATTATTTCATGTTTGGTTGATGTTCCTGGGAAGTCTGTCCTTTTCTAAGGGGATATGTCAAGAGGATAAATCTGGGGAAGACAGGGGAGTATCTGCGGGAGGGCAAAGAGGGGAATATATGGTCAGTGTATAATATATGAGGAAAGAATAAAAAAATATTAGGAAACGAGCAATTTGAAAGAGAAATGTGTTGACATCATTGGCTCCTAGATAGCCTTTTTTATTATAATATAGAGAAAAAAGAAAAATTGGAACATTATCATTACTTATACTTACAGAGTTATCTGGAAACATTATACCTGTAACGTTATCCCTTAAGAAACAATGTCAGATCAGATAAAAATAATAGAATAAATATGTAAACTGAAAAATCATGTATCAAATTATCTAATATATTGAAAGAATAAAAACTTCAAAATAAGTTGTAAAGGTACAGATGGTTTGACAAACATGATGATATCATGGATTTCTGAGAAATGTTACATGAATTGAGTTTCATGATAGCAATTGACTATTATCTAATACAGAATGATTTTCTACATTGTTTAAAGCCCACTTTTTAGTATTGTGTTGACAAATATGGTATCATTTTCACCAAATTATGTCAGAGTAAAATATAGAATTTGGGAACAGGAAAAATGTGTAAATCAGATGGCTTTTAAGGGCTTACCATATCATTGGGTAATGGAAATTTTTTTTCTTAAAAAACTGCCCTTCTTTCTCCAAGGATAGGAGAACATCTATTAAATTGTTTACCAAGATCATGTCCAATTCCTCTGATTTATTTCTTCAGGAATGTTGGTTTTCAGTTACTATTTGTACTCTATACTTTCAATAAGAAAGTATTTCAAGTATTTATGGTTGTATGATTTCCATAGGTTTTTTAGGTTATTGATAACTTAGTAGTAAACAAGAAAGAAAAGTTTATTAACAAGAATGGTTATGAAGTAATTTGATTTGAATAGATTGTTTAATACATTTTTATCTTCAGAAATGTTTGCAGAAGGGACAGGATATATTCTCCATATCAAAATGAAACCCCCTGTTACTTGACAAATAAATATGTCCAAATGATTCTTTACTTTGCAGCCATTTTTGGTGTAACAGCACCATAGTTTGGCAAGAGATTGAAACTGTGTTTTTTCTCCTACTTAATCACTTTGGATAAGGTTGTGTCTGTGTTGTTTACCCTTTTCAATAATCAAGCTTCTATGTCTCTGCAATGTTCATTTTTGTCTATTTCCTTAGAATCAGTTCTCAACCTCAGTATGCTTTCCAGATTTGTTATTGGGTGGGGCTTAGTTTAATCATTTTTTTTTATCCCATTAGTTCATAGTCAATTTGCTTCACATCTGACACACTTTTTCACATAGAAACTGAAAGGTATAAAATTTCCCTAACACCTACTTCTCTTTGTTTTTAATCTGGTTTTCTCAGTTGGTGTTGACATGGATATTACCAATCAATTCACTAACAAGAACAATGAGAAGGTGAAAATACAGCTGGACCTGAAGGCCAGTGCCTCTGAAGAGGAGACACTTTCAGACCACTATGTCTTCCTCAGGAGCCTTGGCAGAGGGAACTTTGCTGAGGTGAAGCTTGCCTACCACCTTCACACAGAGGTGCAAGTTGCTGTCAAGGTCCTACAAAATGGAACCAAAAATGACTTCAGCATAAAAACCGAAATCGACATATATAAAACGTTGGACCACCCGTATATTATCAAGCTGTTCCATATCATCAACACCAAAGAATACATCTATATGGTGTTGGAACATGCTGCTCGTGGAGATCTGGTGAGCTATATTGGGAGGGTGGGCCTTCTGCAGAAGGAGCAGGCCCAGCACTTTTTTACACAGCTGGTATGTGCAGTTCACTACTGCCATGAGAATGGCATTGTGCACAGAGACATCAAGCTAGATAATATTCTGCTTGATGACAAAGGCAACATCAAGCTGTGCGAATTTGGCCTGGTCACCCAAGTCACCTCTGGCCAGGGTACCAATGGCTTCTGCGGAACCCTGGAATATAGTGCTCCAGAGTTGTTCTCTGGCAAGGAATACGATGCAAAGGCAGCTGACATCTGGAGCATGGGAGTGGTTTTATATACAATGGTGACTGCATCCTTTTCCTTCAAAGTCAACACCTATTCATACATGAAGGAGGAGATGCTGGATCCCAAGTACCACCTCCCTTACACCCTTTCCCAAAACACAACAAACATCATTGTGCAGTTGTTCACTGTGAAGCCTGAGCAGAGGTCCAAGATATTTGACATTAGGCAGCACCAATGGCTTACGACGAAGGAAGAATTTGGGAAAATCACACCATCCTTTGAGGCACTCTTGAACAACCTGAATCCCAGCATTGTGGTGGCTCTGGGGAGAATGGGCTACCACCCAAGGACATTAGTGCTTCTATACGTGAGAAGAAATTCAATAACATCATGGCCACATACCTAATTTTAAACCACACATCACCCTGTGACCACTATAAATATTCTGGGAAATTTTTGCCGGCCCGTGTTACTATGTCCCCAGCAGATGCTCTCCCTAGCTTTCCAACTCAGAGGGGACTGAGTGAGCTTGCTCTTCCCATCTTTCTGGAGGAACACCAGATGCATGATGAGAAGGGATCAAGGAAGAAGAAGATGAGAAGCCTGAGCATGCCTGCAAGCTTGTGCTGCCAAGAGAAGGGAAAGAAACATTCATCCCCAGCCCCCAAACTTGCTTGTAAGGTTACTTATCTCAAAAGTAGATGTTTGGCACTGGATAGCATGATTTGTAATTGCTCATCCTCAAGATCCCTGTCCTCTGAGAGCATGTCTTTTGCATCCTTCTTGTCCTGTGAAACATCCCAGGAAGTGAACACCCCAAGCAATAGCTCAGACACTCAGAGTTCTGGGAGCTACAGGGAGGTCCCTCACATTGTGAACACCACTGCCACATACGACATCCAGAGAGGTTCTCTTCAGACAACATCCAAGGACAGCTTTGAAGATGTCGCTCCTGAAGGCATACCTGAAATCCAGAGATACTCCCTTCAGGCAACATCAAAGAAGAGCTTTGAAGATGTCCCTCCTGAAGGCATACCTGAATTCCGGAGATCATCTGGTTGGAAAAAATCTAAGAACAGCTTTGAAGATGTCCCTTCTGAAGACAGAATTGAACTCCAGAAATCAACCCTTCAGGAAACATCCAAGAACAGTTTTCATGATGTCCCTCCTGAAGACATTGATGAAATCCAGAGATCTTCTCTTCAACAATCATCCCAGAAGAGCTTTGACAATGTCCTCCTTGAAGGCATACCTGAAATCCAGAGATTTAACAGCTTTGATGATGTCCTATCTAAAGACATATGTGATATCCAGAGACCTTTCTTTCAGAAAACTTTCAATAACATCTTTGACAATGTCCCTCCAGAAGAAATCCCTGAAATCCAGAGACCTTCACTTCTGGCTATCTCTAAGAACAGCTTTGAAGAGGTTCCTACTAGAGGTGTATCTGCAGCCTCTGACAGCCGTATATCCCAAGTTTGGAAGAGGGTGAAGAAGAGAATTGGAAATTGTCTGAGACGACTATGCTGCTGTGTGCCAGCCTCCAAAAGATGCCATGGTTCTCAGAAGGAAGTGGAACCAGTGGAAATGGAGAGAAGTGCAGTCACACACATGCATCTCTATGAGGTGCCCAAGATGCTATCCGGTGTTTCTTAGTCTATATATTTTCAAAGTCCAATGCAAAAATTACAAATGATTTAGCTGAAGGTAGACAAAAGAAGATGAGAAGCAGACATTGCAGAGGCATTAAGAATTAATTAGTTAAAATAGGAAAGGATAAGAGGGGATGAAAAGTTTTTGGGAGAAGAAAACTCAAAAGGCTACGGAAGAGTGTGAGGGGAAGAAACACTTGAAAATGGATTTCCCAGAAGGAAATAAGAGTCAAAAATCTGAACTACATATTTCAAAGTTCTTAAGACTGTGTTTTGCCTATGTCTCTATCTTCTGAAGTGATAAGTCTCTATGAAGGTTGAGACATGGGAAAGGAATTTTCCTGGTGTGACTGGGACAGCCTATGTTGGAGCCCTGCAGGTTAAGATGGCAGTTTGTCTACTAACCCAGGAGAGAAGTCCAGAACAGGAGGTAAGCCATCTTCTTCCACAGGATTCTCCACAGACAACATAGTTAGCAAGGGTAAGTCCCATGGATGGAATTCCATAGCATTCTTCTCAGCAGAAAACATTGTGCCAAAATTCAACTCCAATCTGCCCCTAAATTAGAAGTCCTGATGGGACAGTCTCCATGGATTCACCACAGCAACACTTATTTTCTCTCTTTACCTTCAAGATGAAGTACAAGTTAGATGTTTTGTCACACTGTGAGAGAGGTCAGCCTCTTCCTCCTCTGGCTCCCATCTTTGCTGTCATGTTTGCAGCCTTCCTACATCCTTTTGTCCCTCTTATCATAGGAGTCACAGTCCCACTGCAGGATGCTGTGTCATTTGTCATGAAGGACCCCTTACTGTGCAGCATTTGTCAGACGCATATTTGTCTCCTAACAGGAATGTGACAGTGACCTGGAAGGAAATGGGTACCACTGTGGATGGAAATCAGGGATATTGCTCCACTCTGGAAGGTGGGTATTGCTTGCATGTCTTGGAGCAGAGTAGAAACATGACTTAGTCACAGTCTTGAAAATACTTTTCATTCAGATCCAACATCTGAGTTCAGACTTAGACAGAACCTTTTGACCATAGAGTTGAGGAATTCAGCCAGACCTTGTACTTGGGTGTCCTCCTGTGAAAGTTGTCTTTAGTGATGTCATGGACACATTCCAGGCAGAGCACTTCTGTCTGCAATGATTAGAGGCCGCTCAGGAGGGACTGAAGGCAGTAGTCATCTGTGGGCCTCATATGGCTAAGGGCAGCACTGAGACCACCAATCTAGTCCTGTTGTATGACAGGTGTTTCTGTGATCTGGTCTACCCTTGACATGATCTACAGACACATAAGCACGAGGCTTCCAAAGCCAGCCTTTTACAATTCCAAGGAAAATGGTCATTTAGTTCATGATGCAGAGGGACAAAGTCATAATGAGAGACAACACAGTCATTCATTGAGA